AATGCACATTTGGGTGTCTGAAGGGGAGGTTTAGGTGCCTCGACATGGGGGAGTGCAACATCCCTGACGTGGTGGCCGCGTGTTGTGTGCTCTACAACCTGGTGGAGAGCAAAGGGGAGGCCTTCCTTCCAGGGTGGGGCCTAGAGGCTGGTGGCGATGGGAGGCCTTTTGAGCTGCCCCGGACAGCTGCCATCCACCAAGCACATCAGTTGGGGGTGCGTATCCAGGAGGCCTTGAGGAAGAGGTTTTCTGAAGGAGCCCACTAACTCTCTCCAGGGCATACCCAATGGGGGTGTGTGTCTTGCCCACCCCGCAATACATTTCCCAACATAACACTAACCCTTTCTCAATGCCCCAGAAAATCAAGACAGACACTGTGTTTTACTTGACGAAAAACTTTGTAGGATCTTTAAAATAAACTCTGTTGGAACTTTAAAATAAACGCTGTTATCAATGATAATTTTTTTAAAACTTTCTTATAAACATGTTTTAACTATTTACAATAAATCTTAGAAAACTCGGGGAGGGGGCGGGGGTAAACCTGGAGAAGGGAAGTGGGAGGGGAGAGGGAAGGTGAGAAGCTGTAGGGAGGCAGGGAACTAGGAAGGGAGCTCAGGACTGGGAGTGCCTGCACCTGCCGCCTTGGGTCCGGGGTCTTCTGCATGATCGAGGTTGGGTGGGGCCTGGGACAACAGGGGGCAGTACAGGAGGGTGGGCTGCAGCTGAATCAGGGAGGACAGGGGAGGAAGGGGGACCAGGGTGAGCATCAGAAGGTGAGAAGCTGTAGGGAGGCAGGGAACTAGGAAGGGAGCTCAGGACTGGGAGTGCCTGCACCTGCCGCCTTGGGTCCGGGGTCTTCTGCATGATCGAGGTTGGGTGGGGCCTGGGACAACAGGGGGCAGTACAGGAGGGTGGGCTGCAGCTGAATCAGGGAGGACAGGGGAGGAAGGGGGACCAGGGTGAGCATCAAAGGGGCCGCAGCAGGGGGAGTCATGGGGGCAGGAGCAGGGGGAGTGGCAAAGGGGGCAGAAGCAGGGGGAGCGGTAAAGGGGGCCATGACCTCCCTAATTGTAGCGCAAATGTTGTTGCCCTGCCGCACCAGTTCTGCGAGCATGCGCTCACGCCAATCAGCCTCCTCCTGAAACTTCTGTATGAAGGTCTTGTGCATGTCCCACAGCACTGATATGTGCTGGCGCATCAGTTCTTGGTGGGTCTGCCAGTGCCTGCTGCTCCCTCCGCTGCAGCTGGCTGGCTGGGATGGTGTGGCTCTCCCATCAGTCACGGCCGTTGAGGCTGTGGAGGACAAGAGAGAGAGGTAGTCAATCATCCCTGAACACACCACCTTATTAGAGGGGACGCTCTGAGACACAGGCCCCGTGTCAAGGCTGATTCCCCACTCTGTCATGATGAATGCAGAAGTGGGGGTCCACAAAAGCAGCCCAAACCCTGATCTCCACAGGCTTGAGTACGAAACTTCCCCCCCAAAATCCTAACACCTGTACTTTGGGGATTCTGATGCCACCATCAAGTGCCTTTGAACCCACAAAAGGGTGGACACTTGAAAACAACCCCTGGGACACCCCAAGCACTTTTCTACCAAGTGCTTGAAAAAGACAGAGAAAATGCAAACTGCAGTCTGCGGTTGCTATCCCCTAGTCAGAGGCATGCAGATCCCACAGACAGATTTCCTAGGACACAGAAATGAAACAATGGCAGTTTATTTAAAAAAACCAACACTTTTATTATCACACAATATTCCTGTTGCAAGCATAATGATTTGATGGAAAAAGTTACCACTTAGGCTGTGTCCAGACTCAGGGGTTTTTTTCGGGAAAAGTAGCCTTTTTCCGAAAAAACTTCACCTGCGTCTAGACTGCAGCCGCGTTCTTTCGAAATTAAATCGAAAGAACGCGGCTTTTCTTTCGACGGCTGTAAACCTCATTTCACGAGGAAGAACGCCTTCTTTCGAAAGTGCTTCTTTTGAAAGAAGGCGTTCTTGAATGTAAATAGGGCTTCTTCGAAAGAGAGCATCCAGACTCACTGGGTGCTTTCTTTCGAAAAAGCGGCTTGCTCTTTCGAAAGTTCCGCGTGCAGTCTAGACGCTCTCTTTCGAAAGAGGCTTGCAGTCTAGACATAGCCTTACTGTGCTCATGGTGGACTCCCATGGGCTAAGGACTTAGTTACAAAAGAAAGGAAATCCCATTTTGAGCTGCACAGACATCAGATCCACATTCCCAAGCCATAAAACAATAAAACCTGGTGGATTTATCTAGACTTTACCCTATTTACACATTATGAAGAGTCTTTTTGGAGAAAAACATGTCTTCTTTCTCCCTCAGTATCTAACCAAACTGGCCAGAGACACAGAAGGATGGTATGGATAAGCAGCCCAGGGAAGTATGCATTAAAGTAGGTTCACAGGTTCACGAGAGGGGTCTGGAGAGGCCTACCCATCCCTGTCCTCCCCCTCACCCTGCAACCACACAGACGCACCTGGGCCATGCATGCTCTGGGACTGGCTCCTGTGACCACGTGTCACACTGCCGCTGCACATGCTTGACTGGACAGCTGCACACTGTCCAGGCCAAGCACTACATGTGATTATCATGCCCCATCCCCTGTGAACCAGCCTCCCCCACCGTGTCCATGCACCAACCTCACATCACTCACCTGATGTACCCTCCCTGGCATCAGATGATGTGCTGGAGGAGTCCTGGGCCTGTGGAACCAGATTTAGGGTGATGGTGACACTGTCCTCCTCCTCCTCCTTCTCCTGGACCAGCTGGTCATCATTGTCCTCCTGCTGCTCATGTTGGGTGACTGGAGGCATCTCTAGTCCTGACTCCATCAGGTGCCTTGGAGACTGTGCATCCCCACCACCCATTATCTGGTGGAGCTCCCTATAGTAGGGGCAGGATGCAGGTGCTGCCCCAGAGCGAGAGCTGGCGTCACGGGCCCGTGCATAGCCCTGACGTAGCTCCTTTACTTTAGCCCTCACCTGATCAAGGGTGCGAGGGTGGTGGCCTGCCTTTTTCGACAATGCAGTGGCCATCCTGCCATAGATGTCTGCATTACGCCAACGTGAGTGCAGGGCCTGGAGAGACTCCTCCTTTGCCCACAACTCAAGCAAGGACTGGATCTCACCCCCTGACCATGCTGGTGCACGCCGTTTGCTCCCCTTGCGTGGATCCTGGGAAGGAAGAGAGGTGCTTCCAGAGCCTTGTGGCTGTGCCATCTTGGGTACCAGTTCTGGCAGGGTGAGAAATGTGGCCACTTGTGCTACTCTCCAGCCGGCTTCCTGGCACAGTGGCTTAAATGGATGCCTGTGCCTTTAATTCCTGGCTGGAGACAGGAACTAAACTAGAGAGTTCTGCTTACTGGGGAAAGATTGTCCACCAGGGTTTTTCCTGGGCTGTGTCCAGACTCAGGGTTTTTTTTTAAAAAAGTAGCCTTTTTTTTCGAAAAAACTTCACCTGCGTCTAGACTGCAGCTGCGTTCTTTCGAAATTAAATCGAAAGAATGTGGCTTTTCTTTCGACGGTGGTAAACCTAATTCCACGAGGAAGAACGCCTTCTTTCGAAAGT